TCTCTCTCTCTCTCTCTCTCTCTCCCTATCTCTCTCTCTCTCTCTCTCTCTCTCTCTCTCTCTCTCTCTCTATCACTCCCCCTCCCGCCCTTACTGGCCAGGGCAGATAGCACGAGCTGATCTGGATCTGATCTGACCTCCCACTCCTTACCCTTCGAACCCCAGGATAGGGGGCAGGAGTGGATCAGCGAGTCTTTTTCTCTCTGTGCTCTGGAAGTGGGCCAGCAGATGCCTTGCTCGCCGCGCCCGCAACCAGTCCAGGTCTCTCCCGCTGAGCGCCCCCAGGCTCCACGCCAATCCTGGATGCCAAATCGCCAGCTGGTTGTTTTCCTGTTTTGGCTTCCAGGATTTAGAATCATCTGCTGGCACGCCTGTCCCAACCAGGCAAAAGCGGGAACTTAAAACACCTGGCAGGCCCGCCCCAGGCCCACCTGGTGCGCCTCAGCGGCGCCCAGAGAAAGAGAGAGGAGCAGGAGGAGGAGGAGGAGGAGGAGGAGGAGGAGGAACTGGAGAAGGAGGAGAAGGAGGTGGAGGAAAGCCCGCGCCCACGCCCGCGCGTCCGCCGCGCCCGCGCATGGGGGCGGCGGCTGCGACGCAAACGAACCGCTCCCTGGTCGCGCTGCCACTAGCAGCTGCACAGGCCACAGGGAAAATGGCTACTCCTCAGGGCCAGCAGTGTGAACTGCGCACTGCTGCCATGCCCAAGCGCTCCCCGCCGCCTGGGCTGCCTCGCTCGTGGGGTAGTGCTGGGGCCAGGCGAACGTCTTGCTCTGGAAGACAGACGTCCTTCGGGTCGGGCGAAGGGGGGGGATAGCAAAGGGGGGGTTTGAGAATCAGCTCATGTAGCTGATTTTCCCGGCGCCTCCCGGCGCCGGAGGCGGCCATGCATCGAGGAATGGGCCCCTCGGCGAGGCCGAAACCAGCTGCATGCAGCAGATTTCGTAACCCCCCCTTTCCCAATCCCCCCCTTTCGCCTGGCCCGAGTCCTTGAGGGCCCAAACTTAGCACAGGCAGAAGGGAAGGGGGATCTAATCCCCCTCCTCCACGATCCTCCCTCTCCTGTTCTGCCTGTGCTATCTCCGTCGAGGTTCGACGCTCGAGGTTCGAGGATCGAGGTTGGAGGTTCGAGGATCGAGGGCCAGGGTTTAAGGAGTTCGATCGGCCCATGCAATCCCGAGGCACTTACACTGGCCCACGCCGGAGCCAGTGGGCAGCCCTGTGCGTGGGCACCTCTCGTACCAGTACTGCCACTTGTCACCGTGGGCCTGACGGCGGCCCCCATCGGGCAGGTGATGAGGCAGCGCCGGCGGCGTCGCCACCGGAGCCCTCAGCGCGCCCTTGCGTCCAGCCTCGTACTTCAGGAACTCGTCGACAGTTAAATCGTTCAGCTCCTCGAGCTCGACTGCCTCGCCCAAGCCCCCTCCGCCGCCGCCTGGCTCGACTGCCGCGCCCAAGCCCCCGCCGCCGCCCCCTCCGTCGCCGCCTGGCCCAGCCAGGGGCACTGCCGCGCCGCCCTCGGCCATCACGGGGTCGACGTCACCACCTGGGTTGAGGCCGCAGCTTGAGAGAGAAGGAAGGCGAGGTAAGGCGAGGGAGGGGGGTCGACGACGACGACGACGACAGCGACGGCGACGGCGACAGCGACGGCGACAGCGACTGCGAGGGGAGACAGCACATAGCACAAGCTGGCGCAATGGGGTTGGGGCGTTTTCCCTGGACCCCCATCCCCGCGCCTTCGTCGTCTTCAGGCTCGGGGGGCGGTTCTGGTAGGGCGTCCAGCGCGAAGATGGCAGGCATTGGGTCAGTACCTGGCAATACCTCCACGCACCGAATGGGCACGAACTCACCAGGCGATAGCGGGTCTACGCGAATGCTCGGAGTTGCAGGGTCGAGGCGAAACGCAATACCATGCTTGGTCGCCCCTTTGTACTTTGGCAGCTTCATGAGTTTCTCTCTCCCCCTGATCTCACGATGCTGTGATGGATTAAAGAGAAACGTGTAGAAGCGATTCGAGTTGACCTTGTCAACAGCGGCGGCGGTGGCTGCGACCGCCTTCGCCTTGGCCGGGCCGTCCTCCAGCGCCTCAGCCTGGCGGATGGGACCCCCATATCCCCCTTGGGGCCGCGACGACGACGACGACGACGACAGCGGCGGCGGCGACAGCAGCGGCGGCGACGACGACGACAAAACCGTCGCCTCCCTCCGAGAGCCTCGGCCTCCCCCAGAGGGCCTCGGCGTGGCCCGAGAGCGTCGGGCCCAGGGCGGCGGCGCGAAACGCCCTGCCCGCCCTACACAGGAGAGTCCAGAGCAGAGGGGGGGAGTCGGGGGCAGGTTCTTACGACATCTAGTTAGCACAGCCTGGTGCATTGCAGATCTCTGATCCCCCCAGCCTTTCATCTCCTCTGGGTTTGTTTAATATATAGGTGTGTGTATATATACATATTTAGCTGCAAAGTCTGGCGGTCTGACAGGGGTATCTTTTTGATGCACCAGGAGAAGGGATGGAAGAGGAGGAGGAGGAAGAGGGGGAGGGAGAGAGGTTTCACGACGTCTAGTTAGCACATCCTGGTGCGCACCAGATCCTGAGCCCCCCTGGGCCCCCCCAGGAGGAGGAGGAAAGGGGGAGCCTTCGTCTTAGCTGCCAGGGCCGCTGCCACTTGGTTCCGATGTGAGTACAGAGCGGTCTCCAGGGCAACGTACATGTACTTCGGGAGCATCTGATCGCCCAACAGCCACACCCGGGTGTGGGGGAGCTCCGCTGAGTGGTCATCATGGCGCTTCTCTGGGTCGGGCTCGACGTCGGGCTTCCCGTCCAGCATAATGAACTCGGGCGAGACGCGACGACGACGACGAGGAGGAGGACGACGACGACGACAGCGACGACGAACGACGACGACAGCGACGACGACGACAGCGACGACAGGATATTTGTGGCCCCCCTGGCAGCCTCGGGCAGCCTCGGGGCAGGCCGAGGGCCCGGCGGCGGACTTGGAGGACAGGTCGAGGGGAAGGTGGAGAGAGCCGCGACGACGACGAGATAGCACAGCCCGCGCACGGGGGGGGGGAGCCCCAAATGGCCTTATATAGATGCCCTAAGATGCCCTAAAACGGCCCAGAAGAACGCCCGGGACGGCGCGAGGCCCCAGATGGCTCCACAACAGGCTTCCTCCTCCACCTCCATGGGGAAAGGGGGGGGGGAGGGGCTTCAGCGCCTCGGATGCATCCGAGACGCCGACAGTGGCGGCGACGACGACGACGTCGAAAAATGCACACGTCCGAACGATGCCGAGACACGTCCTTTGCAAAGCGGGGTTCCAGAGATAGCACAGCCCGCGCAGGGGGGGATCAACTGGGGGAGGGGGGAGGGGCCAAGACCCTGAGGGTCTGGCCCTCAGGGTCTAGGAGGAGGAGGGAGAGGAGGAGAAGTGCAGCACGTCGATTGCTTGAGACGTCCCCGGAAAGGGCGCCCAGCCCGATGAGCAGGAGGAAAATGAGGATGGGGGAGAGAAGGAGCGATATATATATATATATGTATACACACCCTGGCCTTTTTGTACACCTTGGCCGCCTGCTCGTCGATAAGGTCCTCGCCCCTGGGCTCTCGGTTGTTCATCTGCGCCATGGACTCTTCGCTCACGAGGCCGACCGACAACCAAGCCCACTCCAAAAGAGTCTTTGGCAAGTTGCGCCACGCCCAGAGGCCGCTCAGCACAACCTGTCAGGAAAGCGGCTCCCAGAAGCCGAAAAAAACTCGACGATCCTTCTCTTTGGCGGCCCCGCCAATGCCCCCCCGGGAGGCCGAGGCCGACGAGCGACGACGACGGCGACAGCGACGCCCCCCGCCGCGCGCCAGGCCAGGGCGCCGCAGGCCGATGGGCCGCCAACGGCGCGCGCTGGCGCCCAGCCGCCAGGCCCGGGGGATGAGAAGCGACGACGACGACGACGACGACGACGGCAGCGGCGGCGGCGGCGACGACGAGGGCATCCGCCAGGCGGAGGGGCCTGCCCACAGCGCGGTTTCTCGCCATTCTCCCGAGAGACTCCACTATAGTCACCAACGAAAAGTTAGCACAATATCGATCCAGCCTGTGCTATCTCTGAGAACGCAGGGTGGCAGGGCGGCGGGTAGCCGAATGCCAGATGGATATATAGATATATATATATACATATATATATATATATAAGTTCGGGGTGTGACAGAATCGAGGAACGTGAACTTTTGATGCCCCATCGGACCTCTTCTGGCGTTCCCAGGCGCCGATCTGCAAATCCTGATTCATTGCGAGCAATATCATGAAGTGCTGCGCGTCGCATGGGGTTAGCATTGAATCCAACTGCTTCGGCCTCGTAAGCATCGGTCAACCTGACTGCGGGGAGGACAGGTCGCAAGGTAACGTTTTAAAAATATCGCATTCGGGTCTCAGGGGGCCTCTCGTTCTGGAACATCCAAAGCTTTTTGTAGCCTCAGGGGGCCCAAGGGACATCGGGGGGCCCGCGTCTTGCATCTCGCCCTCACCCGCTAGCACCAAGGGGGGCGGTTAGCACAGCCTGGCCAGGTGGGCGGTTAGCACATCCTTCTTCTCCTCCTCCTCCTCCTCCCCCTCCTCCCCCATGCTCCTCCTCGCCCCCTCGTCCCAGGCTGTGCTATATAACTGAGCGCCACCGCGCGCTTCGCACGCACCTAAGAACAGAGGAGTCGTCGTCGCCCCCCCCTCTTCCTCCTCCTCCTCCTCCTCCTCCTTCTCCCCCCCGCCCGGCGGACCTGCGCCAGTATGCGTGTATCTTATCGCATGCTTGGAGTACAGCGGTGCCGTGCGGAAGAATCTGCTTCGCGATCAGGTTGTGGTCCTCCAGGAACTTCTCGCGCTGGACATTCCCACCGCTCCCCTCGTTTCCCGAGAATGAATCATAGACTAGGGCCCCTCTGACGGCGCGCGTCAAGCCCAAATCCTTGCGGCGCTGGGCGAAGGCTGGTGCAAAGGCACCCTCCCACATGCGCAGAGTTGAATCTGTGTCCATGAAGTGGGTAGCTATGCCGCTCATCATGCAGAAGATTTCCCCCTGGTACTTGTTGTTCAGCTCAGCGACGGTGCTCGCCTTGAGTGGCCCGTTCGACCCGAACACGTAGATGAGGGGCCCTGTGTGGCCGCTGGCCCACACTGAGGTGACGCAGGTATGTGGCAGCCGGGCCCCGGCCACAGGGATGTTGGAGACGAAGTCAGGATCGGCCTCGACTTCCTCATCAGTGGAATCGCCCAGGCACTCGTAGTCCAGGTAGGTGTTGGCCTCGTCGTAGGCTTTCTTCTTGAGCATAGCCAGAGATCCCCGAGCCTCTCTCGCCATGAACTGCTGCTTGCGCGACAGCCCATCGAGCTGGCGTCCTGATCGGTCCCGTGCCTTGTATAGCTTTACCTGGCTCCCGCGATGCACAATGCGCCAAACCTGGTCATAGTTCAAGACAAGGCGCTCGTCCACGTTGGCCCTGGCAAGATCCTCTGTCCAACCCCGTCTCCATTGCACCACTTTCCAGTGGTTCAGCGGGAGCGCGTCCCCAGGCGCAGACAGCCTGAGCGGATAGCACAGGCAGGGCAGGGGCGCTCCGAGGCTTGGGCGTTGCTTAATGGGGGGGTCATAAATGGGGGGGTCAGAAACGGTCCCCTTTCGTGCCCCTTTCGGGCCCCTCCAGACCCCCAGGGGGCTCGTTTAGGTACCGTTTGGGTACCTTTTCGGACCACCCTCGCCACCCCCCTATTTATGACCCCTCCATTACGCAACGCCCAAGAGGCCCAGGCCGCTGCCGGCTCCGGCGCCGACGCCGCCGCCTCCATCGTCGTCGTCGTCGTCGCGGTCGTCGTCGTGGTCGTCGTCGTCGTCTTGGTCGTCGTCTTGGTCGTCGTCGTCGTCGTCGGCGGCGGCGATCGAGGACCGAGGACCAAGGGCCCCAAGAAGTTCAGAGGGAAAAGCCCGAGAGAGTAACGACTCGCAGATAGCACAGCCAGGGCGCCGCCTCCTCCTCCTCCTCGCCCCCCCCCCCCACCTCCCTCGCCAGGCCGACGACTGCCTGGGCATCGAGGCGATCCTGGCCGAGCAGGCAGCAGCTGGCCAGGCGGCGATGGGGAGAGGGGTGCAGGGAGGGAAGGGTGCTCATTATGCTGCTGCACCCCTTCCTCGCCCCTCCCTCCCTCCTCCCCTTCCTCCCCGTCCTCCTCTGTCCTGGCCTGTGCTATCCCCCTCCCCCGGCCATTTGGACTCTGTTCGTTCGACCGCTCGGAATGCCCTCCCCCAGCCATTTGGACTCTGTTCGTTCGACCGCTCGGGGGCCATCGACGCCACGAGTCTTTCGAGCCGCGTCGAGCCGCGACGACGAGGGCCCACCCCAGCGAGTAGAATGACGCAGTGTAGTTAGCACAGCCCGCTATCTAAATTGGAAGGGGGAGCTCGGACCTCTTGGTACGCCAGCCAAATCTGTCCTTGAACCGCTTCGCCCACGTCGCTGTGGGATGGCCTTCAGCTAGAGGAATACGCTTCAGGTACATCTCTGTGGCTTGGTCGTCAGTGATCTCTTTAGCCAGGAATTTATCCCATGTTGCATTGTTCGTCGCGTCGATGTCCTTGTTTGTCTTTATGGCCCTGAGGTTGTAGCGGCTGATCACCTTCTTGGCCGCTTCGACGATGTTCTTAGTTGAGAGCTGCTCCCGGATTGCTTTGCTGTGATCCATGGCTTGGGTCCTGCTGCACAGCCACTTATCTAGCAGGATCTGAATTTCCATAGGCAAGAAGTTGTTGGAACCTGGGCCCTTCAAATCCAAATTCATCGCCTTCCGAAACCATTTGGGCACCTCTTTCTGCGATTTTGCCACCTTCACTGGGAGCTGGCCCCAATAGTACTTCTTAGAAGAGGCAATCCAACGGTGAATCATTGTCCTTTTTATAGATTCAGGGAACTCTGCTATAGTCAGATCTTCGCGGATTCTGTGAGGGCCCTCCATACTTTGATAGAAATCCATCACCTGTCTTCCCAGAGACAGCCCCTGGCAGCGCATGGAGAAGCCTGAGGACCCCTCCTTGGGGCTCTTCAGAAGCCCCCAGTGGAATCTGATAACAGCATGGCAAAAATACATTGTTTTTTTGTTGCCGGGGCCTCTTGGAGCCCTCTTGGGGCCCTCTTGGAGCCGTCTTGGGGCCCTCTTGGTCGCGGCAAGCCTGTTGGACCTGGCGGCGACCAGGCGGGAGAGGGGATAGCACAGGCAGGCGGCTGGGCCATTGGGCGGAGGAGGAGGAAGAGGAAGAAGCAACATCGACAGATTGAGGAGGAAGAGAAACGAGGAATGAGGAGGATGAGAAGCGACACAACGAGAGACGAGGAGGGGGAATGGCACATCAGTCAGCATGGCCTGGTCAGGCGGATTACGGCAAAGCCAGAGAATGAATGATCTGCATCTTTTTGAAAATTACAATGGAATCACGCTTATTCGCTGGTCGAATCACCTGTTCTGCAGGACCCACAATCTGGCCATCTGGATTCGAGCCGCCCTGGCCATTGTCAAGCGGGGCAGACGATGGAGTGCCGGTGCCGTGGCTGCTTGAAGGCTGGGCAGGTGATGGAGTGCCGGTGCCCTGGCTGCCCGAAGGCTGGGCAGGTGATGGAGTGCCAGTGCCCTGTCTGTCCGCAAGCGGGGGGGCGCCCTGGTCGCCGGCAAGTGGCGCAGGTGACGCAGCGTTGGAGCCTTGGCCAAGTGTGGGAGCACTCTTGCGACGCTTGGGCCCACTGGGGTGGGTCCGAGCAGTCTTGTCGTCGGCTTTACCAAACAAGCCCTTCAGTTTGTGCAAGCTCAGCTCAGCTTGAGTCCTTCTCTTCTTCTGCCCCTCGAAGTCAGTCTCACGTTTTGCCTGTCTTTTTTTCCAGCTTCTCAGGGTGATGGTGGAAGAAGAGGCGGGAGGCGACGCGGCCATGCTCTTGATCCTCTTGCTGATCAGCTTGCTCCCCACGCCCGCCGACCACATGTCGAAGCAGGCTGTCCTTCCCCAGAAAGAGGCAGAGAGAGAGAGGGAGAGAGTGGAGGGCAGGAGGGGCCAGAGCGTGCGGCGGGGTCGGGAATGGGAAGCGGGCGCTGGTGCCACTGGGCTCGGCAAATCTCGCCATCCCCAGACGCTGCTTTGGATATCCCCCTCTCCACTCCTCCCCCATTTGGCTGCGTGTGCTATCTACCTCCCGAGCGGTCAGCCCGTGTCGCCCGAGTCATCCTCGCGCGCTGCCTCTGGGACAGTGCACCCCGGGGGCTCTCCAGAGCCCGGAGCCCCTCATATATATATATATATATATATATATATATATATATATATATACAAAGTTGGGGCAGGAGGAGTTGGGGGGAGTTGGAGTTGGGGCGCAGATATATAGCACACGCTGGACGATGGCGCCCCTGGGGCCCGGCCTGCGCGGCTGCTTCAGGGGCGGCGGGCGGCGGCCCTCCCGAGGGAGCAGCCCTGGGGGCCCCTGTCGTCGTCGTCGTCGTCGTCGCCGCCGGCGTCGTCGTCGTCGTCGTCGCGGTCGCCATCGTCATCGTTGGAATTGGGGGGAGTTGGAGTTGGGGAGTTGGAGTTGGGCCTGCTGATTTCACGAAACCCCATTCATGTCCAGATCCAGGGGTGGGCCTTCATGAGCTTCTCGATCTCCTCGAGCGAGAGATCTCCTTCGGGGAGATCCAGCGCAGCTGGCTCTACGTCACCCTCGTCGAGTCTGGCCCCTGGATTGAGGGGGTCCTGGCGGCGGCAGCGGTATATATATATATATATATATGAGCTGGCGGCAAGCGGGCGGGCGGAGCCCTCTTGGGCCCTTGTTGGGTCCTCAAGCAAGTTCTGAAAGCGGGACGATAGCACAGGCAGCACCCCTGCATACCTCCTTTCCCCTGGACATCCTTGAATCCGAGAACGCCCATCAATACGTTGCTCTGGCCAGGTTTGAGACAATACCACCGTCGGAGGAAGGTCGCATCCACGCCTTTGAAACCTCGGTTCAGGCTGTGGACGCGCGCAAGATGGCCACTGACCACCTTGCCCTCGGCATGCATGCTCTGAATGTATTTGTCAATCGTATTCAAGCATCGCTTCTCCACGCCACATTCATCATCGTCGCCCCCCTCGCCAGCTAAAGACTCAACTAAGGGCCCAGACTCCAAGGAATGCGAAGGAAGACTGGAGGATGACGAGCCCTGCCGGGCAGCCCAGCTCATAGACGTCAGTTCGTTCAAGCCTATCGTAAGAGCCTCCTCGGGATCAGGGCCCTCGTCGACATAGCACACGACGCCCTCGGAGCGCTCTCCGCGCATCTCGAGTTTCACCTGTGATTGGAAGGTGAGGAAGATAAAATCTGCCCCCGCTTCGAGGCCCCCCACGACGACGACGACGATGGCAGATAGCACAGCCCGCAGGAGGGGGGGGAATCCCACCAGCCCTCTGGGCGTGTATAGGTGGTTTAGGGAGAGGCCCAAGAGGGCCCCAAGACGGCTGCTACATTGCGCGCTGCTATATATATATATATATACACACACACACCTCCCTGACCACAGCAACTCGCCTATATAGGCATCTTCCCTGGATGGGCTGGTGGAGAAACGCGAAGCGTCAATATATATATATATATATATATATATAATTTAACTTCCTCACGTTGACAGGGCCCCCAATCAAGGCTGGATCCACGGGCTGAATAACGTGGAAGTTCCTGCTGCCTGGCCAGCCGCTGCCTTCGCCAGCTGCACCCCCGTGCACAATGCCAACCAGAGAAGCACCAGGCTGAGCCCTCCGCAACAGGGCGTCGAATGCCACATCTTTCGGCTGAACAGTTCCCCCTCTGCTCCCCTGGATCCATCCCATAACCTGGAACTATGGGAAGCGATGGGGATCTGGCTGTAGACTCCGCAGGCCCTCTGCCAGCTCTTCTGAGGTAGTAGCAATAGGGAGGCAGTGGCCCGGCGGAAGCATTCCGCCTCCCCGAACGCGCGGGGGTCACGCATATATATATATATATATATATATATGTATATATATATATATACAATGTGCCCTGGCGCCGGCGCCTAGGTCTGAAGCCCGTCCGAGGACGACGACGACGACGACGACGGCGGCGGCGGCGGCGGCGGCGGCGCCGAGGGCCTCCTGCTCGCGCTGCCGGGCCTCATGAGGGGCACCGCCCCCGCGCAGGCGCGACGGCCCCCGCCGGCGGCTGGCGCTCGCGTCGTCGTCGTCGTCGTCGTCCTCCTCCTCCTCCTCCTCCTCCTCCTCCTCCTCCCCCCCCCCCTCCCTCTCCTCGTCGCTCTCCACCGTGCCCAGGCTGTGCTAACTATCCTCCTCCTCCTCCTCCACCTCGCCCTCCGCTGCACTTAAGGGCCCCTTAAGTGCAGCGGGCTGTCTTGGCCTCCGGGAGCCCCCCCGACGGAAGGAGGAGCAGGCCCGCTGCACTTAAGGGCCCCTTAAGTGCAGCGGGCTGTCTTGGCCTGCGGGAGCCCCCCCGAAGGAGGAGCAGATCCGCTGCACTTAAGGGTCCCTTAAGTGCAGCGGGCTGTCTTGGCCTCCGGGAGCCCCCCCGAAGGAGGAGCAGATCCGCTGTACTTAAGGGCCCCTTAAGTGCAGCGGGCTGTCTAGGCCTCCGGGAGCCCCCCCCGAAGGAGGAGCAGATCCGCTGCACTTAAGGGCCCCTTAAGTGCAGCGGGCTGTCTTGGCCTCCGGGAGCCCCCCCGACGGAGGAGCAGATCCGCTGCACTTAAGGGCCCCTTAAGTGCAGCGGGCTGTCTTGGCCTCCGGGAGCTCCCCCGAAGGAGGAGCAGATCCGCTGCACTTAAGGGCCCCGTAAGTGCAGCGGGCTGTCTTGGCCTCCAGGAGCCCCCCCGATGGAGGAGCAGATCCGCTGCACTTAAGGGCCCCTTAAGTGCAGCGGGCTGTCTTGGCCTCCGGGAGCCCCCCCGAAGGAGGAGCAGATCCGCTGCACTTAAGGTCCCCTTAAGTGCAGCGGGCTGTCTTGGCCTCCGGGAGCCCCCCCGAAGGAGGAGCAGAGCCGCTGCACTTAAGGGCCCCTTAAGTGCAGCGGGCTGTCTTGGCCTCCGGGAACCCCTCGGGCGGGTTATAAAATTTAATACATCGTCGACCTGTCACGCGAGTACCCGAACGAGCGGATCGGGTCGGGCCAAGAGGGCGGACCCTAACAATCGAGACGAGTCGGGACGGGCTGACCCTAACATCCGGGTCGTTTCGACCCTGCAGGCCTCCCCCCAGGCTGGGGGGAGGCCTCCGGCAAACCTCCCCTGGTCCTCCTGGAGACCTCCCCTGCTCAGGAAAAACCTCCCGGGGGTCTCCGGGAGATTTCCCCTGGTCCTGTGGGAGGTCTGGAGGGAGGCCTCCCCCCAGATTGGGGGAAGACCTCCCAGAGGTCTCCCCCAGACCTCCTGGGAGCCTCCCTGGGGAGGTCTCCCAGGTCGCGAGGACACCTCCCTGGGGAGGCCCCCCCCGAGGCTGGGGGGAGGCCTCCAGGAGGCCTCCCCTGGTCCTCCACCAGGCCCGGGGAGCGGCCTCCCCCCAGGCTGGGGGGAGGCCTCCCGGAGGCCTCCCCCAGACCTCTGGGAGGCCTGCCTCTGGAGGCCTCCCCCAGGCCTGGGGGGGGCCTGGGGGAGGCCTCCCCCCAGCCTGGGGGGAGGCCTCCCCCCAGGCCTGGTGGAGGACCACGGGAGGTCTGGTACCAGACCTCCCCCAAGCTGGGGGGGGGGCTCCGGAAGGCCTCCCCCCAGGCTGGGGGGAGGTCTGGGAGAGGTCTCTAGGA